CACCCCTGAAGTCACACAGGGTCACCTCCCCTTCACCCTTCAAAGTCACCGTCAAGTGGGTCAGTTTCGAGCTGGACGACACGTATTCCGCTTGGGCCAGGGCGCCGTCCACGTAGACCTGGGGGGGGAGGGGGGAGAGGGGCGGAGTTTAGTCATGGCAGTGACAATGAGGAGGAGGAGGTGGTGGTGGAGGAGGTGGAGAATGAGGATGAGCAGGAGGTGGTGGTGGTGGAGAATGAGGAGGAGGAGGAGGAAAAGGAGGAAGAGGAGGTGGATAAGGAGGAGGAAGAGGAGTAGGAGGAAGAGGTGGTAGAGGAGGAAGAAGAGGAAGAAGAGGGAGAGGAGGAAGAAGAGGAAGAGGAGGAGGAGGAGGAGGAGGAGAAGAAGAAGAAGAAGAAGAAGAAGAAGAAGAAGAAGAAGAAGAAGAAGAAGAAGAAGAAGAAGAAGAAGAAGAAGAAGAAGAGGAGGAAGAAGAGGGAGAGGAGGAAGAAGAGGAAGAGGAGGAGGAGGAGGAGGAGGAGGAGGAGGAGGAGGAGGAGGAGAAGAAGAAGAAGAAGAAGAAGAAGAAGAAGAAGAAAGAAGAAGAAGAAGAAGAAGAAGAAGAAGAGGAAGAAGAAGAAGAAGAAGAATGAGGATGAAGATGAGGATTAAAATTAGTAATGGTATTGATAATGACAGCAATAATAATAATAATAGTAAGGTCTGCTAATAATTACAGTAACTGATAATACCTGCTACTGTAAATGCTTGTAATGATGACATACTCGCTACTACTAATGATAATTATCAAAGATATCTAATACTAATGAGGATAGTTATAACAAATGATTGATATTAATTACAAATGCTAATTCTATTGCCATCTGACAATACAGCTACTAATAGTTATAATATCAGCAACTGCTACTACTCCTGATTACAGTATGAATAGGGATAGTATATACATGTATTTCCAGATAGATTGCATAATTGATCATTTCCACTTCCAGAAATGTTATTAATAAGTTTCTGCCATTTCTCTATCACTGTTTTTGTAGTTACTTTTTTGTTATAAGGTAGTTATTTTTCTTTTTATTATATACATATATTTCGATGTACAACAGATATATATTCCGTTATTTATGAAACATTATTCTGTGGTTTTCCATAAACAACCTTTTCTAGAAAATGCGTATGCTTAAGTATCAGTAATAACATACTAGTGACCGCTTAAAACTTAAAAAGATTAATATTTCTTTTATTATCTCTCTCTCTCTCTCTCTTTTTCCCCCCCAGCTCTCTCTTTCTCTGCCCCTCCCCCTCCCTCTCTCTGTGTCTTCCCTTCTCTCTTTCTCTCTCTTTCTTTCTTTCGCACTTTCTCTGCTCTCTCTCAATTCGGTCCTCAAAAGATTACATACATATAAACTATGTTTTTTTGTATGGAAACAAAGACACGGTATTTTTCTTTAACTACACACTGATGAACAATAGGAGCATAAAGTACACAAATCGGTCAGTACTTTTTCTTTTGTATTGGTTTACAAATGCCATTTCCACGATTACAGTAACGACTTATATTATTTTCTTGGCTTTATGTGGACACGTTTATTTAAATACTTGATTCACTTTTCAAGGCTTCTCGTAAAGTTGTTATGAAAACTATATTTCGGGTTCAAATTATATGCACACAAACACGCTGTTGACAATATACAGAATCGACGAAATTGATTGAGACTTCGTGTGTTTGAGAGAAAGTCTTCAAATATTTCCACTGAATAAAAAAAATGTAAAATATAATCACGGGTAAGCTTTTCCGTTGAATTAAACATTCTAGACACAAGGTGGGCCTCTAGTAACGGATTTCAAGCTAAAAGAACGTAATTGAAACGATGAATGACGTAAATTAGCACAACACTTGGCCGAACCTTGAGCACCAATCCCAAGCACTGAGAAAAAAAAAAGATCCGACGCTTTGGGGACGTTCCTTAATCTACCAAAAAAACGGTTGTATTTACAGGAAACGAAGCATCCGGAGGTTGAAAAGAAAACAGAACAAATCCACATTTCTAATCCCTTTGTGGAAGAAAGAATCTGAAAAGGACGACTATCTCCTCTTTAAAGCTATAAATCGGATTAATCAAAGCATTTACGGCCGGCGCGTCATTCCCTTTCCGCGATAACTCGTTTCGTCGTCTCCCGGTTCGAGATGCCCTGCTTTGGTCTTTCCTGGCACGGTGCCCTGCTCGGCCTGTCATAGCAAGGGATGCTCAAAGCACGCTGGATTAATATTCCATCACAGTTCCCATGCCGAAGTCTACGCATTGGCATTTACGTTGATAATGACCCAATACCTTCAACTGATCATAAGCATTGAAATTTCTTAACGTACTTTTTGTCATATATCAGGCGGGGATGAAAACAACAAAGGGAGTAAAATGCGAACGAAATGTGTAAATGCATCAAGAATTTTCTAGATTTTAGGGAACTTTTTCCCCCTTATCGAAGTTCATTTCATATAAAATGTTAGCCATGATTTAACGGAAGTTAAAAAATAAAGAAAAAAAAAAACATACACACACGTGTGGTAATAGTCTGAATATTGAAGTTCATTCACATCATATTTGCTATCCATGAATATGCTTATGCTGCATTCTTGGTCTTTTTCCGCCTATTCAAGTACAGGATATCAAAGGCGTGCTTGGTATCAAACGCTTTGATTTATCTATAAAATTATTTTTCATACTTTCTATACTTAACTATTTTTCTCCTCTGTTATCTTTATCGTTTCTTTCTCCAAGGCATTATTATAGTTGGATTTTTTCTTTTAGTTTTGCGCTCATTTCATTCCTTCTCTATGTCCGTGTCCTTTTACCTAGTCCTTTATTTGCATTTTCCTCCTGAACATTCCTCAACATACGATTAAACCTTCCTCAACATACTAACTAACATTCCTCATGATACCACCACACCGTACTTAACATACTACCAAACCTTACTTAACACACCACCAAGGTAATGTAGCACTAACACACTACAAGCCCCTCCCCTGCACACAACTCACCCCCGCACACTGCCCCTTGCACTTACCGCCAAGTTATACCCGATCTTGGTGACCGTGACGTTGTGCCAGGCGTGGGGGTCCTTGCTGCCCTTCGGAGGCCAGACACTCACGTCCCAGCTGTCCGAGAAGCCGTAGAGTCTCATGGCTATTCTTCTGAGGCTCCCCTCGTGCCTGACGTAGAAGGTGGCGCTGGTGACAGCCCTCAGGGGCCGGTCCAGGTGGTGGGTGTAGACGGTGCAGTCTGTTACTGCAGGAGGAGAAGGGCCTTAGTCGTACTGTGCTGTGGTGTAGGGACTGATTGCCTCTTCGGGTGGTTTGAATGATAGGGTACCGTATAAAGTTTAGGATGTTTTGAATGTTGAGGCATTAAAAAAATCTTTGGGTCGATTGAATACTGGGAAATTGACTTAATATTTACTTGGATGTTAAATAAATCTTAATATGATTTGCATGCTGAGTTTTCAAGCAAATTTGTGGAGGGTTTTAATGCCATAAAATATATTTTCTTCAGTCTACTTATAGCAAGATCTTTTAAAAGTTGTAAGAAATGCGTCTGATAGATATTGACACAATGTCATGGCACTTTGGATAACATAATTATAAATATGAATACCTGTAAATTTATATCACCTCTATTAAATGGATTACATTAAGTGTCGAAATTTACACTGCTTTAACGTATGGATTAAATCATCTTCATTATGTTGTTATTAAGCTGAATGCTTATATTAGTTAATCTAATCTTTTAAATAATGGTAATATAGGAAGCGAATTTGCTGAAAGTACATGTCGATGGATGGTTATATTACACTAATAATATCAACAGAAATGATATTGGTGAAATGATAAGAACAACAACAAAAACAACAATAATAATGATGATAAGGATAATAATAATAGTAATGATAACAGTAGTACAGGTTGTAGCTGAAATTATGATTATGATGATAATGATGATATTAATAAAGATAACAACAAAAATAATAATGATAATGATAACAAAATTGATGAGGATGATGATAATGAAATGATGATGGTGATCTTGATTATAACAACTGATCATCATAATGAGAGTAATAATAGTAATAAACATAACATCATCCTCATCCTAATGATAATGATGATAATAATAATATTAATAATAATAATAATAATAATAATAATAATAATATTAATAACAATAATAACAACAACAAAAACAATAATGATTAAAATAATAATAATGATAATAATAATAACAATAATAATAACAATAATTATGATAAAATGGTAATGACAATAAGGATAATTAATAACAACAACAACAATAATAATGATAATAATAATAATAATAATAATAATAATAATAATAATAATAATAACAATAATAATAATAATAATAATAATGATAAGAACAATAAGAATGTAACAATGGCATCACTACTAGTAGTAATGAAA